ACATAGAGGAGGTGTAGGCTTATAACAAAGGGGAATTTTCTCTGCCACAGAGAGTGACACCCTTTCCAATGGGCACTGTAAAATTAAACATCAAAACATAAATATTTCAGTGAGGGTTGTTCAGCTCTCAGGGGGCTCACCTACTCATTATACTGTGTTTAAAGGATCATGGTTCAAGATCCAGTGGCAACAGTTACCCTCAGAGTTATCTCAACATGCAGGGTCTTATTTTGTTGAATGACTGAAGCAGAGAAAAGAAATCCAACAAACACGGGATCTGTCCACTGCTGACCAAGCTAAACCAAGATTTACTAGCAGACGTTGTCTGGGCTGCACTTTCAGAGTCATTGAGGCCCAGGTTTACACAGTAAGTTTTGCAATGGCATCAATGGTGGGGCAGGCGTAAGAAGCAATAGCAGTTGAAAACTCTTCAGTTGCACCTTCAGCAAATGCCCTGAGCTGACAGCAAGATTTCAAAATAGAGAAATGTAATCCAGACTGGTGGAGTTTACTAATGGAAAAGGGTTTGGATTTCCACTTCATCCTGAAGAATTTTACACATTGAGAAACTTTAGGACAATATACTGTGAAGGACAAAATTTGGATTGAAGGGGTGGACAGGGAAATGGTATGGTTCATAGATGCAGCTGGCACTATGATTCTGATAGCAATGTTTGAGTGGAAGAGTCTTCAGTAATTTGCACTTTGGCTGCAAAGGTTAGGTGGTATGAAGATAATCTCAAGAGTCTTCAGCAAACTGCCCTACAAGGCTGGGGAAATCTCAGGACTGGGGAAAGGGGACTTCCTGGAGGATATCTAGGAGACTGAAGGCATGTTTTGTCCATATCTACTCATGCTTACTGCTACACACAAACAGCAAGGACTAGTCTTGATGCGTTGTTTTAGAAATTATGGAGTGAAGCAAAATATTCAGGGAGATTTTAAGTGGGTGTAAATTACCCTTAATTGCTTGCAGTGAGGGGAACCATTCCTTAAAGCTTAGGATCTTATTCATGATCTGACTGTTTTCAACAAATCAAGATTGCTCCTTAGTGCATAATAGTGTCTTTTTGACACTAGCAGATTGTTTTGGCAGAGTAGAGTAGTAACATTTTTCAGATTAGTAGTGTTCACCAGAACACTTCTGCTACTAGACTGTGGCTTAAATATAGTTCAATTTCTATATAGCAGATGGGAGAAAAAGAAGGTTTTATGATATATATTGAATAAGGAGGTTATTATTTTTCCAAACGTATGTTCTTCAGCCTGATGTTTTATACATCAATCAGCTGTTTAGGAACACAAATATGAAAGATGAGATATTTAGTGGATATTTTTCATGTTTTGGTGGTTTTTTTGGTTTGGGGGATTTTTTGTTTTGTTTTGGTTGTTTGTTTTTTTTTATTGTAATAGCTGTTCACATAGACAGTATGTTACTGTTCTATTAAGACATACTATGTGCACAGTCCAGATCACATAAAATATTCTTTGAATTACACACCAGTTTTTATATTTTTCACATTTTTCTGATTGTCGGGATTATATGTAAAGTAAGTAGGGAATAAAATCTTAGATGTGAAAGGTAGTGCCTAGTGATTTAAATATACCAGCAAACAAATGAATTTTCATTTTTAAAGCCTAAACTGTGTAGACAAAGTGTGAGTGAGGAGACATGATTGTATTTTGGCCCCATTTTGCAGAGGGGAGTAGCATTTTGCAGATCCAGAAATAAGATGTAAAGGTGCACTTATGTTCCATGGTAATTAATGACACTAATGAAACACAAATATTTCTCAGTTCTGTGTACCCTGAGTCCTGTTTGTGCAGAAAGTGATATGTTTTATGAAAGAACATCTTTAAACACAAAATACAAAATGGTTGCAGGTCAGTTTTGCCTTCAGTTCACACTCAAGCCTGTAACTACAGATGACGGAGAAGGCACTGTAATCAGAACACGGCATTCCCTCTGTTGCTGTCAGTGTTAGTCATATCCACTGCTGCAAGTGCAACCCTGAACATTGAAGTTATGCCTTGATAAGGAAAAAAGCCCAAACAGCACCTTTTAGTTTTCAGTTTTATGAATACTGTGATGTTGCTTATGTGGTCTTGTGGACTTCATATTTACTGACTTCATAGAACAGGTGATATTGAAGTGCTAGTTATACTTGGATAGATATATATGTGTATCTATATTTATATACACAAATATATATATTTATGTACATATATTTAGATATATATTTTCTTGAAAAATCCATGTAAAAATGTATACCTATACCAGTAGGAAAGGTAATAAAATGCAATTTAATAAATAATTATTCCACAAACAGAAAAGATTTTTAAATACCAGACACTTTTGCTTTGGAAAGTATCACGCTCAAAAGGCAATGTGCTGAAAGAACTATAAATAAAAACCTAAAAAGAAGGGCTGTAAGAGGAGTGGGAAGACTTATCCTGAAGAAGAGGAGGAAGGGAGAGAAGAGTGCCTCAGAGCAGAAAGTGTTGCCCCACAGCTGAATAAAACCAATCAGAATTCTGGAGACTGTGCGGTGAAAGTATTTGAAAATGAGCAAATGACAACATTTGTGGTTTTTTTTTTTTCCAGGGGTGTGAGTATTCTGCTTTTCATCAGATTGTTCTGTCTAGCATATGGACTGTTTTTCAGTTGGTATTTTGGGTGCATTTTTCAGTTCTGTGCTGTGGTGTGTGGCTGGGGACCATGGCACTCCATATGGTGGCTTTCATACTTTCCTGCAGGTGTAAAAGAAAGGATACAAGAGAACACTGTTTGAGATAAAGGTTAGAGCAATTCTAGGTTTGAAATGTCTGTTCAGAGCAAGAGCAAGTCATTTCAAACTGCTCAGTAGAAAGACACTAACATATTGTAAATGTTTTACTGGCATTTCTTAAGAAAATCCATTTTGTATTTTTATCTCTGTTAAATAACAATCTGCTGCGTCTTTGAAATAAAATGACAGTTTATCAATATCAGATGTCCTTAATCCGATGTAACTTAGACACAGAGAGGGAAAGTAAAGGGTGCAGAAACAATCTCTACTACAAACAATGTTTTTTTTATTTAAACTGTGAGGTAGGAAGTGAACATAGCACTGAAGAAGCACAGCTACTCTCCTTAACACTCATGGCAACTCTCTCAGTAACTACTATGTCATGTGGTCATGATTTACCCAAAGGGCCAGATCAAAACTGGGCTATGACTAGTTGGGATTAATCATTTTAAACTATGCCCTGTTAGAGAGGATGACACCTGCATGTTAATCCCACTGTGAAAAGATTCTTGGTCCGTGTTGGAGAGACATCCTTTATAACCATAGCATTATGTTTTGGAAATCAGGGTCTTTAGGTAAGACATTGTCTATTCTCTTTGTTTTGCCTGTAGGAAAACGCTGGATTTTCACATACAGAAGCTTTCAAATTGCTGCTGCTTAACAAACAGGCTCAGTGGGTTTGTGGTTTATCCCACCAGTCTCTAAGCAAAGCCTTTCTGGTGCAGGGCAGTACCACAGAAGGGATTACTATAAAAAGGCTTTAAATACAGTCTGTAATCAGAAGAGCTTTTTATTTGTTTCATGTTTCTGCCCTCTAGGTACCTTTGGCAGCACGATGCATAAGCATTCTGCAGCTAAAAGAGTCTGACATACTGAAAATAGGTAGCAGAGTTCACATTTCACTCGGTTTTAATAGTAGTGGGTAGGGTTATAATGATAATCTACCTAGAGCATTTAATGTCTATGTGATTTAATGTCTAGCCTTTTTAGATTAATTAAATCTAAAAAGGATGAAATCTTCTTTCTTCCAATGCTTCTTAAGTAGCAATGGTCCACTCCAAATGAATGCCTTGTTATCTGTTTTAATTTCATCTTCATTTTCACCTTGTGTTTGGCACTTCTTAAACATTTCTCAACTGCCTCATTGCTCTTTCAGGCAAGGAGGATGCTTATTTTAGAGAGAGCATTGCTTACCTGGGTGATGCCCTGAGAGACAAGGCTATGTTTGGTTCTGACTGACAAAAATTATACTTTTAAAAACATTATAGTAAGTATACATTTTTACTTGTCCAGAGAAGGCTCATGATTGTAAAGGGCAGAAAAAAAGTACCTGATTGAAGTTTTGGGTTTTTTTTCTAATAAATGTTTTGGGTTTTTTTGTGATTTTTACCAGTTATTTAATGATCAAGATACTGAAATAAAATTGAAAAAATGCACAAAAAAAAAATTATGTGTTAGTAATGACAAGTCATTCATCATTAAATCAAGGTTTCGTTGAAAACACAATATCATATTATCACCTGATCTTTCTGAACATATTTGTGTAAAAGTATATAAACTAGTCTTTCATAGTCTTTCATGCTTCTTACTGTGCCTGACACTTGCTTTAGGAATGTAGTAAAAATGAGTGGGGAGAGTCTGAGGGCTTTTTAGTGGGTCAGATTCAGATCAGAATAAATCATAATATCTGGTATACAGTGACTAAGCATCAGTCAGATTGTTCCATTTCATCTTATACTCCTTTATTTTACTTTTCACTTACATGGAAGAGAGTTTAGCTAGCATATGTTCTTGCCGTTAGTATAACTTTCTGCCTGTAACTAGTTTGAAATTATGTCATCGTAATGGCCAATAAAAGCAGACTGTAACAGACAGAAGAAAAGTAAAAAAAAAATAACTGTAAATAACTACACTTGATTTGATTATTTTAAAGAGAAAAAAAATCATCTGTACTGTGGAAACTGGTGTATTAAGAGGACAGTCATGAGAAAACTTCATAGTCATCAATACAGATATATCAGCAGTAGTAATGCTATCCAATGAATATGCCCTAAGCTCTTGGATACTTATAATGTAAACTCAAGTGTGTTGATGTTAAGAAAATGCATTAATAAATATTTCTGATGCATTATGTGAAAGCCGCAAATAATTTGCATTTTGAAATAAATAAATAAAAAGATTCTGACAACAGTTCTTGTCTTTTTCCTGGATAGGTACCTACTACACCATTTCTTTGGTGAAGGCTGTTCTGCAGTGGTGACTTCTTCCAATCAACTGCTTCACAAATTATTATCTCTGGACTCCCAGCTGACACCCTGCCAGAGGCTAGAGCTACTGAGACAACTGGAATTGTGCCCATTCTGATCAAGGTTTTTTCTTTCACAAGATAAAAAAAAAGATGAAGTTGGGCAAAGTGGAATTCTGCCATTTTCTGCAGATACTAGCTCTTTTCCTGTGTCTTTCTGGGATGAATCAAGCAGAGTTCTCAAGGTCCAGGTCAAAGCCCTACTTTCAATCAGGGAGGACAAGAATCAAACGCAGCTGGGTGTGGAATCAATTCTTTGTGCTGGAAGAATACATGGGTACAGACCCACTCTATGTAGGAAAGGTAGGGGATTTAAACAAACTTTGGAGGGTGCAGATGCTTGCTTTCTGATGTGTTTATATGATGTAACCTGAAAATTGTGATTCTGTCACCAAGGTTGACTTAAGCCAGGGACAAGGTTTCATAGTTTGAAAAAGAAAGTTTAGCACTTCAAAACAACAAGACGTTACATTCCCGATTCCCCTTACTTTAACAGCTCTACATATTAGCTATGCTTCTTTAAAGGGCTTCAGTAATGAAAGTATTTTACCACCACTGACACAAGGAAAATATTTTATTACTAATATTACATATACTTTTCTACATAAGAATAGAGAAACATAATGGTGAATATTCTTTTATGAGAGATAACAGTTAGACCCAGAAAAATAGAAGTTCTGTGTTATGTTTGAGAAACCCGGTCTAGTGAAAGATGTCCCTGCCTGTGGCAGGGGGTTTGGAACTAGATGATCTTTAAAGTCCCTTCCAACCCAAACAATTCTATGATTCTATGTTGTTTGTTGCTTAGTTATCAGCACTACTGAAGGCAAGAGAGAAAGAATCGGGTATCTGGGGCTGTGGCAAGTAAAAAGGAGGGCATGTCTGCATTACAACTTTGCTTTGATGTTGATTGGCTGGCAGATTGGCACCTTGGGGGCCTTGCTGCCCTCCATGTATAGCACAGCCTTGTGGCTTTACCTTCCCTCTGATGGGCACCAGGCCAGTTCAGAGGAAGCCCTCACATCAGGGCATCCCACATGGCTCCTTTCGTCAGAGCCTGTCTCTGCAAGCTGAACGCAGCTGTGAATCCAGGCCTCAGCTTGTGCTGGTGGGTAATATGCTTCCTTCAGCAATTCTGAAGGAAACAAACAAACAAACAAACACCCCCCCACCCCCCCAAACCCTTCTTGTGTTTCTATGTAATATTTATGTGTAATCATCTTATTGAAAGAAAACCCCATTTTTCTATGTAATAACAGAATCAGTAAATACAGTTTCTCATTAAAATATTTTGCAAATGCATAGAAAATAAGGGAGTGACAGCTTTTAGCAAAATGGCATGCTTACAGAAAAATAAGTGAAGTAAATCTGAAATCCACCACTTCAAATATATGAGTACAATGAATTTCAGCTTACTTAATTTGTCCTACTGAGAGAAAAACTTTGATGTTTGTGTTTACACAGTTAAGCACTTAAAATTTAATCATGCTAACTGAATAATCAGGTTAAAAGGAGAATGTCTCTCCCAATTACAGCTATGGTTGTGTTTAGGTGCTTTTCTGCACTTGGGCTGATGGCTTGCACAGTTAAGCCCTTAAGAAAGATATGCTAGAATCAAAAATATTTCTTATTACAGCAGACCTGAAGTTTTTTGTTAAGTTTTAGGTTATGTAGCAGTTTCCATTCTGATGTCGTGCAGCTCCTGCTTGGCTTTGTGAGTTTTGTCTTTTAGGCAAATTTGATCTCAGTTTAGAGCTTCTCTTTTCTCTGGAAAATAGCATATTGGGCATTGTGGCCACCGATAAAAAAGGAAGCATGGCTTGAGAAGTGGAATTTCTCTCCTGGAAAAGAGGTTACTTTAAATATTTGACTGAAGACTGGTTTTGATCTGTAGCAATTCTCATATTCATTTGATTGCTATATTATGGCCAAAGATGCTATGGTAGTGATAGAGTACGTGATATTTGCATGTATGTAGTTATTTTTAGCTTCACAGTCTGCTCTTTCCTGTCCTTTATAGGTCTCCTAGCATTCATAAGCAGATATCTTCTGAAAAGCCAACCTTTTTTTCTGAAACAGTCTGTACCCAGGCTGCTTTTGTATCAGCAGTATGAATTGTTGGCTCAGGAACTCACATTTGTAGCAGCAATTCATTTTGTAGGAAAAGCAGATAAAAATTTGCACTTGCTAAAGGAAGCCCATCTTCCTGGAAACAGAGTCCTTGCTGAGCATCTTGTAAGATAAGATGTGCCAAGTTCCTAACCTTCTCACTGGAGAGGGTTTTTACTGTGTAGTTTCTGAGGTGCAATCATGACCAAAGCTGTATTCCCACGCAGGGTAGCAAAAAGGTGAAGGAGTGATTTTCTTTCTGTATGTTAACATATTATGTGTAGCACCACTCTGAAGTGAGCAGCAGTTGCCTTCCTCCCCCTCTTCTTCCCTTAAAAATATTTCTGTTCTTTTTTCAAATCCTTTGCAGGCAGGCAGGGACTAAGAGGGCTGAGATTTGGATAGAAAGGTTGTTCTTTTTCTTTTTTTTCCTCTCCTGTTGGTGACGAAGCTATGGCAAGCAAAGAGCAAGCATAACTCACTTCTCTTATCAAGTGAAGTGGAAGCAGCAACCAGACTCTCCCTTGCGTTCTGCAGAGCACTCTGTTCCTGGGGAGGTCAGTCCTGCACTACCTTACATTCAAGATGCTTTGCAGGGTGCCAATCTAACTGCACATCCAGGAATGAGGAACCTTCTTCCAGATTTTAAGGGCTGTGAGATAAAAATGTTTCAGAAACACTCAGGCAAATGGAGCTGCAGTAGGGAATATTTTCTCCCCTCCACTATTCAATTTTACAAAGCCTCAGGCAATTCTGGTTGGAAGGCAGCATTTGGAGAATGTTAGGGTTACACAGCAAATCCTTTAAGAGTCATGAAATACCAGTGTTAATTCCATGTTAAGCATTAACTCTGTCCTTCTGGGTGTGTGTATTCTGACACTTTCATTACATGATCATGGAGGCTAAAATCCTACTCCTTTTAAATAGTCTAACAGGATTCCTATTCACCTCAGTAAGATAAGTCACTTAATTTTTCAGTGTTTTTATGTTTGTTTAATAAGGATTTGGATCCATATCTGAGGTATATTTCAGCCGTCCTTCTTGTGTCCCTGACATCCATTTACTGGCAGAATGTTTTTTGTTGTTTTATTTTTTTTTTTAAGTGTTTATATTTTTTTAACACAGCAGTGGCTTGTTTCTTTTGTCACTCTGGAGAAATGTCTGGACGAGTTCCGTTAGTTTTACACTTATGGGAGTGAGAGGTGACTGAGTTTTTTTGCTGCTTTCTTTTTTTTTTTTTTTTTTTTTTTTATGTAGGTCTTTCCTCTCCATGTTATGAATTTTAATCATCTTGAATTCAATCCTGAGTAATTCTGAGTGCCTCTTGGGAGGTGCTTAACACGTAATCAGATTGTGGACTGAACCATATACAGTTTCTTTTTGTCCCTCAGCACAGCATATGTTGCGTTCACTTAAAGGGCTGAAGCATGTAACTGTTTAGCTCATTTGCTTGTTTGGATAGGCACTGTTATTTTTCAGACATGCCATGTAGGAGATGAGGCAGTTAATTATAATGCTAATTTAGCTAAAAACATAGGTGGCTTCTGTTTTCTGGAAAATGTTTACTATTGCTTGGTAATATTTTTTGTGAAACGTTTTACCTCATATTTTCCATTGAAATGACTTTAATGAAATCTATTTGGACATAAAAAAATAGTACAGAGTAGTTTTAAATGATGCAATGCATAAGCATCTAAAATTAGAAAAAAGTGTATGCTATTATAATGAATATTTGAAAAGATATGTACGGCCTTGTAATTAAAGTCTATATGGGTACATGTTGGCAAAAAGGGGTGCAGTTCAAATAGAACTTTTAAATTTTGTTTATGTCTTTTTGGTTTTGTTACATAACTACCAGACATCCAGGGTTTTTTTTTGTTTTGTTTTTTTTTAGTTTTCTGTCAATTTTTGTTTTGCTTTTAATTTCATTTTACGTGTTCTGCTGCAAGAGTGTCAGTCTCCTCAAAAGCATTACAATGACAGTCTTAGCCAGCAGTCCTTTCATTTTTCTTGTTTAAAAATCAAGATCAAAATCAAAAGAAGGAACAAATAAACCTGAAGAAGTGAAAAAAGACCATGATCTTCATGTGAGAGGTTGATTGACAGCTGGCTTCTCTGTTTACTTTTGGATCCAAACCAAAGCTCCTTTTCTAATAGCTTCATATTTAGGCATAGTTAAAGACAAGGACAGCTTCAAGCCTTTTGCTGAGTTGAACTCTTTTTTTCCCTGAAACCTCACTGAAGGACTGAAAATAAAATAGAAAAAGACATAAGCTCGATTGAGTACAAACCCAAGAAGCTGATATTTGAGAGACTCACTGGTACTTCTCAGAAATAACTCTTAGAACTTTTAAGGTGCCCTACATCTAGTTGTTGCTCATAATGTATGGGGAAGGACAGCATAAATCCCAACCTGCATTTTCTAGGTAGTAAAATCAAGAAAAAAAAAGTGGAATGAGTGGACTAAGAACATGTAATCTGTTAGAGCTCATGGTCATTGCCTTCCTGTTCCATTTTACCTGCCTCTTTGTTTTTCTTCTAACTATTTTAAGATAAAAAAAAATTGCTGGATTTCATTTTCAAACATGGACCAAAGCACATGAAAGCTAATATTTGCATTATATTTTTCTGGAGTAGCACAGAACGGATGATGAAATACAGTGAACTTAAACATTTCTGAGAAATTTGGTGCATTTAGGAGAATTTATAGTTTTCTTTTAAGGCAGGGTGGGGAAAAGGCTTTTCAAGCAGCAAATATCAAGAATTTATGTTACCGTGGACATAGAGTGGATTGGTTTTTTTTCCAGCCTCATCATTTTGGAGGGAAGGAGGCTGGACAGGGGAGAATACTGGTTTTTGGTGTTTGCTTTTTGTTTTTCAAAGGTGTTAGTGAACGTGTCAATAGGATGACAGAATTATTCACGTATGATATTTATCTGCAGTGTGATGCCATATCAAGCCATACAGATGTAGTCAGAAGTAGGGCTTTTTCTCTAGATCATAACCTGACACTTTCGAATGCAGCTGATGACTTTTTGACTGACTTGGATGATAAACGCCTTTGCTAAAATACTTTAAGATGGTGAGTACTGTGGAAGTGCTGGCCATTCAGTCAAACTCAGTGATATTGCAGGAATATCAACTGCTGAGAAACTGAGGCAACTTCATCTGTGATGAAAGATCTGAGGATTTCT